ACTAATCCTTATCTTCTTTTACCATAAAAAAATGGAATGAACTGTTTTTGTCCACAATGCCACTACCGAATCCATGTTTTTACTTTTATTACAAAATTTTACCTTATTTAACGACTTTTATCTTATTGAGAAAGGGGAAGAGACCTTATCTCTTTCTCTTTTTCCTTTTGGTAAAATAGAAACCTAAATATAATTTTTTTATTGTTTTTTAATTTTTGATTATAATGTTAAGTTAGGAGGAATTTGGAATTTACTTCTATCCTTATTGTGTCAGTACTAATTCTTATCTTCTCTAAACCAGAGAAAATTGGGATGAATTATTGTGTCATTATGGTGCAATAACTTACCATTGCCTATTTAAAAATAAAAAAATAAAAAAACTTGCACTAACTTAAAGAAATTTGAAATTTGATTTCGCGTCCACACTCCTGGCCGTACCAACATAATTGTTTCTTCCAGTAATTTCTGAAGTTAATGCCAATTATTCGTCTCTCTATTGTTAAAATAGTTTAATTTAAATTTTATAGTTTCAATTTATCTCATGTCCTCTATTTATTATTAATTAATTACACATATCTTCTCTTACTATTAAAAATGGTATCAATGTCTTCATTCGTCTAAGGTCCGTCCAATTTTAAAGTAAAAATAGTTTGCTCACCGTTAATCACTTACTTGTCAGACATCCAACCCTTTTTTTTTTTTTTTAACAGCTGGCCTTTAGTGGGCCTCACCAGTGCCACATCAACTAACCTTGATGAGTCCGTAACCTCAACCACCATCCGAATTTCTCCTCTTAAGTGTGATTTGGGATGTGTAGAAAGACAAGTGGAAACTCTTAAAGGAGTAACTAATCGATGGATGACGAAAACTTTTGAAACTGAAACACAAATACTATGTCCATGTCAGTTATCTGTTGTACCCTTTCATGGTACCACCGTATCAGAGGATCACGAAAAATGAATCAATATAGGAAATCGAAATTTTTAATTGTATTCATGGATGCATATTGTAAAATTTGAATCTCATCTTTACTAAGAAACAATTTCAATTATTCCAAGTAAAATCATATTTATTTTAAAAATAACAATTTCAATTATTCACATCTTGTATCTCCATATCAACTATGAATATTCCATAACTAAACTATTCATTAGAGAGGTTTTACATTAGAGATTTGGACTAATGCAACAATAAATTTAATTATCTTTCATTTCACAATAAAATTAATAAGAAATGGACAATAAAATATATAATTCAATAAAAATACTAGAAGCAAACCATCCACTGATCCAAAAATGAGAAATGGACAT